TTCTACCTGCCTTAGTTTCCCAAAGTGCTGGGATTCCAGGCATGAGCCACTGCGCCCAGCCTCTACTGACAACTTAATTTCACTCTTATGGCCTCCAGAATGTGAGATATTAAATTTCTGTTGTTTTAAGTTATGTTAATCTGTTTTGTGTCGTTATAAAGGAATACCTAAGGCTGGATAATTTATAAAAAAAAAAAAAAGAGGTAGCCAGCCATGGTGGCTCACGCCTGTAATCCCAGCACTTTGGGAGGCCGAGGCAGGTGGATCACCTGAGGTCAGGAGTTTGAGACCAGCCTGGCCAACATAGCAAAACCCCATCTCTACTAAAAGGACAAAAATTAGCCAGGCATGGTGGTGGGCGCCTGTAATCCCAGCTACTTAGGAGGTTGAGGTCGGAGAATCGCTTGAACCCAGGAGGCAGAGGTTGCAATGAGCTGAGACCACATCACTGCATTCCAGCCTGGGAAAAAAGAGCGAGACTCTGTCTCAAAAAACAAAAAAAAAAAAAAAAAAAGGAAAAAAAAGAAAAAAGTTACTTTGGCTCATAGTTCTACAGACTGTACAGGAAGCAGGGCACTAGCATCTGCTTCTGGTGAGGCCTCAGGAAGTTTCCAGTCATGGCAGAAGGCAAAGAAGGGGGACCAGGTGTATCACATGGTGAGGGAGGGAGCAAGAGGAAGAGAGGGGAGCCCTAGACTCTTTTGGACCAGTTAGCGCTCTCGTGAACAAATGAGAGGACTTACTCATTACTTCAGGGAGGGCACCAAGCCATTCATGAGGGATCCATGGCCCACACACCTCCCACTAGGCACCACCTTCAGCACTGGAGATCACATTTCAACATGAGATTAGAAGGGTACAAACGTCCAAATAATATCATAAGCCATTCAGTTTAAATTTACCACCAGTCGACCGGGTGAGGTAGCTCATGCTTGTAATCCCAGCAATTTAGGAGGCCAAGGCAGGAGGAATGCTTGAAGCCAAGAGTTTGAGATCAACCTAGACAACAAAACGAGACCCCCATCTCTACAAATTAAAAATTTTTTTAAAATTAGCCAAGCATGGGGCATGAGCCTGTGGTCTCAGCTACTTGGGAGGCTGGGGCAGAAGCGTTACTAGAGCCTAGGAGTTCAAGCTTTGATCACACCATAGCACTCTAGCCTGGGCAACCGAGCAAGATTCTGTCTCTTACAAAAAGAACAACAAAAAAATTATTGCCTGTCATACTTTGTTATGGTAGCCCTAGGAAGCTAATATATCTACCCAGGATTGCAAACAATTTCTTCTGTTTTCTTCTAGAAATTTTAGTTTTAGTTCTACATTTAGTCATATGACCCATTTTATGTTTATTTTTGTGTATGGTATAAAAGTCAAGGTCAGCGTTCATTTTCCCTCATACGGATATCCACTTTCAGCACCGTGAGATCAGATCTTGCTTTTTCACAAAGACTTCTTATCTAGTTGGGGACATGTCCTTCTATTGTTTGTTTTATCATATTAGATTTTGTTAAATGCTGTTTCTGCATCTCTTCAGGTGATGATACAGTTTTTCTCCTTTATTCTGTTAATGTGGTGAATTATATTGATTGACTTTGTAATGTTAAAGTAAGTTTCCACTGGCCGTGATGTATTGATGGATTCAGTTTACTAATAATTTGTTAATTTCTGCTTCCATGTTCACAAAACATGCTGATCTATATTAGTTTTCTTGAAATGTCTCTGGTTTGGTATCAAGGTAAATTCTAGTCCTAGTGAAATGAGTTGGAAGGTACTCTTTTAGTTCGGTATTTTTTCCCTAAATGCTTGATAGAATCCATCAATGAAGACATCCCAGCCCGTATTTTCTTTGAGGGTAGGTTTTAAATACAAAATCACTTTCTTTATTAGATTTTTATTTTTATTTTTTAGATGGAGTCTTAATCTGTCACCCAGGCTGGAGTGCAATGGCACAATCTGAGCTCACTGCAACCTCCGCCTCCAGGGTTCAAGCGATTCTCCTGCCTCAGTCTCTGGAGCAGCAGGGCTTGCAGCCCAAGCCACCATTCCCGGCTACTTTTTGTATTTTTAGTAGAGATGGGGTTTCACCATATTGGCAGGGCTGGTCTCAAACTCCTGACCTCAAGTGATCCATTGGCTTCAGCTGCCCAAAGTCCTGGGATTAAAGGCATGAGCCACTGTGCCCGGCCAGTTTCTTTGATAGAGATATTTAGGGATCTTTTGGAAGGAGTTTTGGTAGTATCGTTCCAGAATGCAAAATGCAAAATACAATGGCTTTTACAAATATATTACAAATCAAAATTGAATTTTGACTTTTTACCAATATTCTTACATTTGTATCGTGGCTTTTTAAAGGTATTTTTTCTACTGTAGCTTTTTTTTCTGATATATAAATAATACATGCTGTTAAAAAAAATTTCAAAGGGGCTGGGTGCAGTGGCTCAGCACTCTGGGAGGCCAAGGCAGGCAGATCACGAGGTCAGGAGTTCGAGACCAGCCTGACCAACATGATGAAACCCCATCTCTACTAAAAATACAAAAAAAAATAGCTGGGTGTGGTGGCACACACCTGTAATCCCAGCTACTCAGGAGGCTGAGGCAGGAGAATCACTTCAACCCGGGAGGCAAAGACTGCAGTGAGCCAAGATCGCATCGCAGCACTCCAGCCTGGGCAACAGAGCGAGACTCCATCTCAAAAAAAAATTCAAAAGAATATAGAGAATAATAAGGAATGGTATGAGTCAGGATAGGCCAAATTCTGTTGACCTAATACAACAAAGGTTTATTTCTTGCTCGTGCTATATACCCATTGTGAATCTCCAGGGGCATTGCTTCCCGTGGTCACTTAAGGATCCAGGTTGAAAGGCTTCACCATCTTGTGAGCAAGACTCCGTCACAAAAAAAAAAAAAAATTCAAAGAATATAGAGAATAATAAGGAATGGTATTAGTCAGGATAGGCCAAATCCTGTTGACCTAATGCAACAAAGGTTTATTTCTTGCTCGTGCTGTACACCCATTGTGAATCTCCAGGGGCTTTGCTTCCCACAGTCACTTAAGCACCCAGGTTGAGAGGCTTCACTATCTTGTAATGTATCATACGGATTGTATCAAATACAAACTCTTCAAGGTTTATATTTACCTTTTGGAGGGATAAAGTTTCATTATCCAAATGGATAGTCAAGTCACAACTGTATGGGTATCAGTAATCGATGAGGTCAGTGTTATTTGGATGTTGCTTTTTTATGTTTTTGTTATTTTATTTTTTGAGACAGAGTCTCACTCTGTTGCTCAGGCTGGAGTGCAGTGGTGCAATCTCAGCTCACTGCAACCTCCCCATCCCGGTTTCAAGCAATTCTCCTGCCTCAGCCTGCTGAGTAGCTGGGATTACAGGCATCTGCCACAATGCCCAGCTAATTTTTGTATTTTTAATAGAGACAGGTTTTCATCATGTTGACCAGGCTGTTCTTGAACTCCTGGCCTCAGGTGATCCACCTACCGTGGCCTCCCAAAGTGCTGCAATTATAGGCATGAGCCACCACACCTGGCCAGATGTTGCTTTTTCAGAAAGCACTTTCACTTACATACATTGGGTCGTCTTCTACATTTCTGGTTGTCAGTTAAGCCATAACTGTGGCTTACTGAAGAACATGACCTTTGAAGTCAGACTTGAGGTTGAACTTTACCTAGGGAAATGTGCTTATTAACCATAAGCCTGTTTCCTCATGGGGAAAAATTATATGTACCTTTTATGACTGTTGTTAATTAGAAAAACATTATGTAAAACACCTGCTAAGGCTTATCTACCACAGGCTTTCTCCACTTATCAGGTTCACCAAATACAACTGCAGCATGAATTCCACTTTCTACACAACAGTAAGCCAGAGTGTTCATGTTAACTGTGTTTATCTCCCATCCTGTTTAACGCACATGGCTTTCTTAAACTTTTCTCAGATTGAATGAGACTGTGCAACACAACTAACACTTGAAGTTTTTTACTTTTTTTTTTTTTTAATTTTCCAACTCTTATGAATGTACAGAGGACTTTCCAGAAGCTACATGATGTGATATTTCAGCTGATTAAATGTGGATGTGTAGAGTGGTGGGAGAAAGTGCAGGAAAAGAAGCAGGCCCTTGGAAAGGAAGGCTCTGCATAGCTTTGCGGGGAGAATAAGTTGAAGGCAGCTATTCTCTGACCTTGAGTTGACACAGAGGGCAAGGAGTAGGTACAAGGAAGTGTAGGGGAATTTATCTTAAATAGGCTTGTTTACTTTTGTTGCAAACCTTTGATCATTCAAGTGAGCCAGTGACTGCTCCCTGAAAAGGGGAACAATAATGTTAATTATACCCAGATTTTGTTTGCTCCAGGCTTTCAGCATTGTGTCTGTACAGAATAAAACCAAGCAGCTCCAGCTGTTCCAGGCGGCTCTCTTCGGCCACTAGTGCTGGGCAGCCCCCTAGCTGCTCTTACACCGCATACCTGTGTCTGAGTACTCCTTTCATCTGTCTTGGCCAGGGTCTTCAGGACAGACCTGGTATAGATGAGAATTCGGCTGTCTGCTGTTAAGCCAGATACTAAAGCAAGTTGTGAAATGTAAAACAATGCCACTCTGCTCACTGATTTTTTTGTTTGGTAAAATATAGTAACTTTTCATTGAAATATTGTTATTTATGTTAGTTAACATGCCACAAGGGTCAAAGGATCCTGAAACCAAACACTTGGAGGACTGGTGCTTTATCCTGTGGGTGAAAGCTATAAAACAAGATTTTCTTAAATAAATGTAGTATATGCATCCATCTCTCCGTCTTTGGTGTGTTTTCAATCCAAGTATCCTCTTTCTTCCTTTTGTAAGGAAGATACGAAGAATGTAAGCAGTTAGTTACTGGCTTCAGTCCCACAAAAAGTTAGTTTTTCTAAGCAGTGATCTGGAACCAGTTTAACTGGACTCTGGCTATTAAGATAGCTCTTAATGATGTTTCGTTTTGTTTTCTGTCTTTCACATAGAGCTTACTCACATGGCATTTTGGCATAGCAAAATGAAATGCAAGGAACCAAAAATAACATAATTGAAGGCAGTAAACCCGAAATTAAATAGAAAGATCATCAGTCCAGGAAGACCTACCGGAGAGTAAGTATGCAAATTGCCAAGAATTAATTGGTTTACAAAGAGGAAAAACAGAGACTGGGTCAGTGAAAAGAAATCATGGTTTCCCTGAGGCCCCGCTAATACCTCCATTTTCTGGGCCAGATCATAAAGCAAGATACTTTGAAAAGGACTTTCACATTCACTTTTCAGGTTGCATATGAGTTGATTCACAAGTAGTTTAAAGAATCATGCAGGAAGGCCGGGCACGGTGGCTCAAGCCTGTAATCCCAGCACTTTGGGAGGCCGAGGCGGGTGGATCACAAGGTCAAGAGATTGAGACCATCCTGGTCAATATGGTGAAACCTCGTCTCTACCAAAAATACAAAATATTAGCTGGGCATCGTGGTGCGTGCCTGTAATCCCAGCGACTCAGGAGGCTGAGGCAGGAGAATTGCCTGAACCCAGGAGGCGGAGGTTGCGGTGAGCCGAGATCGCGCCATTGCACTCCAGCCTGGGTAACATGAGTGAAACTCC